TCCAAGACATACTAGTTTTTCAAGGTGCTCCACAAGCTTAGGCACAAAAGATACGGCATTGCAGGCCATTTAGGATTTCTAGACGATCACTGAGTAGGCCAAAATCCCCACTGCGCACTGGGCCGGGAGCAACCTTAAGACCGTTTACGGAATTGGCGGCCCAGCAGCTCTTAAAACCGGCCATGGCAGGTTTTAAGCCGTTTAAGCCGCACCGGCTCCCCAGGGCCCACCCTTTTAAGCCTAGGGGTCCCCTAAGGCCAGCAGCAAGTGACGCGGTCAGCAGCAGCGCTCCAGCCGAGGAGGCTCAAGCGTCCGAGGCGAGAGTAGAAGCATGGTCAAGTGTTGTACTGTTTATGTGGGTGCACTTGGAGCACTTGGAGTGCAGTCGGTAACCGCACATCCAGGGCCGGGGAGCTAAGAAGCGCACCCAGCGGGCCGGATGATTGGCATCGGGTTACGGGCTAGAGAGCCCTAGCCCTGGGGGGTGCGCGTTCGCAGGGCCATAACACGGGTCTCCGAGGGTTGGCTCCGTGTACCGGGTTTCCCCTTAACTGCAGAACGCCGCCCCTCTACTCGGAGCTAGTAATACGAGAATACTCTCCGAGGGTTAGTCCGCGCTTTGGTTTCCCCTAGCTGCGGAGCGCCCCCTCTACTCGGAGCTAGTGGACACGACACTAGCTAGTGATACGAGAATACGTACCGACCCCACGCAACTACTCGACGATAATACGAGAATACGCAGTCCGATACGCAGCTGCGAGACGCCGCAGCGATGCCCACAGCCTGTCGAGCAGCTTCGGGAGGTGGCGGCAAGGTAGGCTGCAAGGGAGACCGGCTGCGGCGGAAGGGGCGAGAGCGGAGGGGGAGGAGGAGGGATCGCGGGAGGTGGTTAAGGAGGAGGCAAAGATGGAGGAAAGAGCGGCGAGGGAGGGGGAGGCGGCGAGGTAGGAGGAGGAGGCGAGGGCGGAGGTGGCGCGGAGGGGGGAGGAGGCGGTCAGAGAGGAGGCGGCAAGGAAGGGGCCGGCGGTGGAGGCGGCGGTGGCGGCGGTGAAGGGGGCGAGGGCGGAGAGGGAGGGGGGAGCGGTGGGGGAGGAGGCGGCAAACGGGGGGTTTGGATTGCAACCAGCAGCCCGGACGGAAGGAATCAGTCCTTGTAGGAGGGGGTGCGGCAGAAGGGGAGGCGGCGGTGGGGGAGGGGACGGGGGAGGCAGCGGCGACGGAGGGGGGAACAAGGAAGGGAGTGGCGGAGGAGGAGGCGGCGGGTGAGAAGGCGGTGGGGGGGGCGAGGGGGCGGCGGAGGTGAAGGAGGGGGAGGGAGAGAGACGAGGTTTGGAATTTCCGACACCCGGGTGAAGACACTGCCCAGTCCAGGACTCACGTGCCTCCAGCAACCGGCAGCCGACAGTCCAAGGTACCTGAGGGGTTAGGGGTCAGAAAAAGGGTCATCGATCTCACTCGGTAGCAACTTTCGAGCGCCGTACCCCCCAACCAAACTTTCGGTTATAATAACCGACGGAGGTCGATAGACCTAGGCAAAGTTGAAAGCAGTAACGGCGAGCACGTTTCCGCGATGGGAGTCGCCTGTCGAGCAGCCTTCACGGCGCGCATGCGCCGCGGGGTTGACCGACAGCCGCGCGCCTCGAGCCTCTCGCTCCACGCGCGGCACGACGCATCCCGCGCGCCATTCATCGCCGCAGAAGTATTGCGACATGCTGCACGACGCCAAGGACAGCGTTGAGAAGCTGGCGCCAATCGCCCAACAGCATGCCTCGGCACCGGGCAGGAGAGCAGGCTGCGCATGCCGATGCAGCAGGAGGTTGCCACCCATCAGGCTCTCACACCACAGCACGGGCGCCGTCGAGCACTCGCAGCTGCGCTGCACAATGCTCAAGCTCAGGATGCCCCCCTCGCCCCTGCTTCTCGCAGCTTTGCGCAGCGCAGCGAGCGGGCAGCGCCGCACCAGGCGGACCCATGGCGCGCTCAGCGAGCCGTGAGGCGGAGGCAGGCCGAGTGAGCGCGAGCCGCATCGGCGCCCATGTCCCGCGCAGCGGCGAGCGAGCGGCATGGAAGAGTGCAATGTCGCGCATAACGTATATCCGTAAAGCGTAATCCGGAACGACTCGAATCTTCGTTTTGGCGCTTCGTTTGCTCGTGGTGGGAGAGAAAACACTCCCTTTGCTGCCACTCATAAAATCGTTGGGTCGCTTCAGTTCACGAAGCCCGTGGGCCGACCCTCCGATTTTATGAGAAGAGAACAAAGGGAGTGGAGAGAAAAAAAAACGGTTCTGCCCGGACCCCGCCCCCTAGATGCTGAACGACTTCCTGCCGAGCCGGTCACGCGTCCGCCTTATAGGACACGCACGCGTCGACTCGGTGTATGCGAGTGGTGAAGGAGCGCAGCTTGACCTGCGCGCGGGAAAGGGTGGGGGTGTGGTCGCAATCGCAACTCGCCAGAGCCGGGCGGTCTGCGAGCCCGAGGCACGCGCGGGCCTCCGCCGCACCTCGTCCGACGTTGCGATGTGCTTCGGGTCCGACTCCTCCCACGCGCGCGGCACCTCGAGGCCGTCGGTGGGCCAAGATGAGCCGAGAGTGTCCGAGATTGGTGTGAGATTGCGTGCAGATTGGCCGGAGGAGGCGGCACCTCCACGTCGTCCGTCGTGTAGACGAGCAGGTCAAACGAGCACCTGCAATGAGTCCGTTCCTCGATGAGTTGTGAGTCCGGCGGGTCAAACGAGCAGCTTCGCAGGACAAGGCGGCGGGGCGAGCTCGTCCGCCACCGCAGCCCCGCATCTTTTTACGCGGCGGGGCGGCCATGGCACGGGCAGTGCTGCGGGAGAGAGGAGCGCCGCTCCAACGCATCTCGGCGCATCTCGGCGATCTCGTCGGATCTCCCGGCGGTGGCTCACGCGTCGTCCAGCAGCGGGAGAAACGTGACCGAGGCTGTGATCTGGCGCATGATGGCCTGCGGTCAAAAGAGGGTTCAGAGGGAAGCGGCGGCGGAGAGGGTGCGCTGGCCTGGCGCATGACTGCCTGGATCTCGCCCATGACCTCCTTCTCGCTCTTGTTCGCGCCGCCCTCCGCGCCCGCGCCCGCGTCCGTGTGCACGTCGAACACCCACCGCTCCAGCGTCTCGCCTACCTCGCGGTACGCCTACCTCTCGCGGGACAGCCCTCCTCCCCCGCGCCTCCTGCGCCTCTCTCCCTCGCCTCCCGCCCCCGCCCCGCCTCTCGCCCCCTTCCCTCCCGGGAAGGGGGCGAGGGCTCGTAGCGCCGAGCCAGGGTGCGAGGGTCCAGCGCCGCTCTCGGCCTCTCCCTCCCCCTCTCCCCCTCCCTCCCCCTCTCCCTCTCCCTCCTCTCCGCTCTCCTCCCCTCCGGCACCGGTCGCAATCGCGCTCACGACGACCACGAGCTTCTGCACGGTGCCGTCGCTCAGCCACGAAGACAGCTGCGTCAGCACGTTGTCCAGGTACCTGCCGGCGGCGATGCCGCGACCCCGAAGCGGTGGGAGGCTGGCGGCGGAGAGGGCCGGCGGTGGGAGGGAGGGCGGGCGGCGGGCGGCGGGAGGCGGCGCGCTTGACGAGCGCGTCGTCGCTGGTGACCAGCATGGTGAGACCGTACTTTGACACGCGTCGGAACGTCTCGGGAGGGTAGATGCCGCGCTGGTACAGGATGGAGTTTATGCTGTAGTCTGAAGACGGAAGCGGAGGAGCGCTGTCAGAGTCGCGGCGGCGGCAGCGGGCCGCAGAGAGGTGGGGCCAGTAGGCGCAGAGGGAGCGGCGCGGTGGTGGCCGCACTGAAGAACTCTGTGACGATCGCGACGCTGCCCTTGAGCGTGATGGAGGAGGCCGTTGCACTGCTCATGCTCAAAGGGCGTGGATGGCGCCTTTTTATTTTTGCGGTAGCGCTTCGGTAATCGAGGGTAAGGCTAATGCAAAAAAACTTGACCTAAGAGAGAGAGAAAACGAGAAAGGTTTCCCTCCTCAGAAAGGAAAAGAAATTTCCCGGCCCTCGGTCGTCGAGAGCGGCCCCCTGATCAGCTAACACGAGGCGGGTAAGGGCGTTCGGGCTGCTTCTAGCGGGCCCGCGGAACTTTTGCGCAGCCGCGTCCCTTCCGAACCTCGCCCCCTCGCTCCACAGCATGGCTGCGGCGGAAGCACAGTACGATCTGCTGGTGCGCCGTCGCGAGTCCAAGCAGCTGCCTGCTCAGCGAGCGGCGATTCCTCTCCCGGCTCCCCCTGCGCAGGTGATCGGCGGCGGCTCGGGCGGACTGGCCTGCTCCAAGCGCGCCGCCAGCCACGGCAAGAAGGTCGCCGTCTGCGACTTTGTCAAGCCGAGCCCGCCGGGCACGACGTGGGGTCTCGGCGGCACGTGAGCACCCCTCCTCCCCGCCCCGCGACCCCGCCCGTCCTCTCCGACGGCCGCCCTCCCTCCGCCGCAGCTGCGTAAACGTCGGCTGCATCCCAAAGAAGCTCATGCACCAGGCGCCACCTCCGGGACCCTTTTGCCACTCTCCACTCCTGCCAGACGGCCTGGAGCCTTGCGAGCCACCTCCAAGCCGCCCCTCGCTGCCTCTGCCGCCACCATCGCCGCCAGCCTCGGCGACGCGTGACATGCCCCCTCCCTCCCCTCCGCACCGCCCTATGCTCCTCCCCCGCCAGGCGGCGCTGCTCGGCGAGGGCATGACGGACGCCGAGTCCTTCGGCTGGGAGGTTGCCGCGCCCAAGCACAACTGGGAGACGATGGTGGGCAACGTGCAGGGTGCGCGACCGCCCCGACCGCCCCCGCTCCGCCCGCCCCCACCCCTCCCGCAGCCGCCGTTTGCTCCATCCTTTCCATCGCCGCCGCACCACCACCACCCGCGGCCACCACCCGCTGCCGCCACCACCCTCCACCTCCCGCCGCCCCCACCCGCCGCCGCCACCTGCGCTGCCACCGACGCTGCCGCCCTCCCGCGCCGCAGGCCACATCAAGTCGCTCAACTTCGGGTACCGATCCGACCTCATGTCCAACGGCCCCGCGCTCGGCTGGTACTCGCATCTCCTCTAGCCTGCCCCTCCCCCGAGCTGGCTCGCACCCTGCTGTCCAGGCGTGAAGTACTACAACGCGTACGCAACCTTCCTCGACCCGCACACGGTCGAGGTGACCGCGCGGACGCCCCCCTCCCACCCCCCACACACCTCGAAGACACCCTCCCCCCCCCACCTCCCCCCCACCTCCCCCCCACCTCCCTCCCACCCCACCGCCCAAACACCTCCTCAACACCTCCCAAACACCCCTAGCCACCCGCCCCCTCGCGCGTCACGCCGCACCGCCCGCGCCCCTCAGGCGGTCGACAAGAAGGGCAAGGTGACCAAGATCACGGCGTCGGAGATCGTCATCTGCACGGGCGGCCGGCCGCGCTACCCGGACATCCCCGGCGCCAAGGAGCTGGGCATCACTTCGGACGACGTCTTCGCTCTCAAGTCGCCGCCTGGCCGCACGCTCGTCGTCGGCGCCTCGTACGTCGCTCTCGAGTGCGCCGGCTTCATCAAGGGCGTCGGGTGCGCGCGCCACCACCCCTCACCCCCTCCGCCAGACCACCAGACGCCGCGACGGACTCCCGGCCCGAGGCTCTCGGCGCCACGGCCCGGTTTGTGACGCGGGCGGCTCGCTCGGCGGCTCGTGAATGACGCGTCCGCGACACGTCCTGCAGGTACGACACGACGGTGATGATGCGCTCGATCCCGCTGCGCGGCTTCGACCAGCAGATGGCCGGGCTCTGCAAGACGTACATGCAGGAGCACGGCGTGGCCTTCATCGAGGGCGCTGTGCCGACGGCGGTCGAGGCGACGCCCTCGGGTGCAAAGAAGGTGGGCTGCAGAATCTGCCGACTGTCAATCAGTCAATGACTCTCAGTCCTTCCAGAGGTTCTTCGCCGTCTCTAGGTGAGCTGGAAGCTCGCCGACGGCTCTGTCGGCTCGGGCGAGTACGACACGGTCCTCTTTGCGATCGGGCGGGACGTGTGCACGAGCGCGATCGGGATCGACAAGGCGACCCTCTCCGAAGCCGAACCCTTGAGACGCCTCCAAGCCGCCTCCCACACTCCTCATTGACGAGCGGCCGAGGCCCGAGCCGCGGCCGAGACACTTTGCTCGCCCCCCCCCCTCCTCTTGCGCCGACTGCACCCCTCCCCCCCCCCCCCTTTGTCACTCTCGCCAGGCGGGCGTCAAGCTCTCGTCCAACGGCAAGGTGCCGACGGTCAACGAGCAGACGAACGTGCCGCACATCTACGCCATCGGCGACATCATCGACGGCGAGGCGCTCAACCCGCCTTCAGCGACCACCGAGCTCACTCCGGTCGCGATCCAAGCGGGCAAGCTGCTCGCCGACCGGTTGTACGCCGGGAAGAGCGCGCTGATGGACTACTCGATGGTGGCGACGACGGTGTACACGCCGCTCGAGTACGGCGCGGTCGGGCTCCCCGAGGAGGAGGCGATCAAGCTGCACGGCGAGGACAACATCGAGGTGTACCACTCGTACTTCAAGCCGCTCGAGTGGACCCTGCCGCACCGCGGCGACAACGTCTGCTACGCCAAGCTCATCTGCCTCAAGCCCGAGGGCGAGAGGGTCATCGGCCTGCACGTCTGCGGCCCCAACGCGGGCGAGATGACGCAGGGATTCGCCGTGGCCATCAAGGCGGGCGCGACCAAGGCGCACTTCGACGACACGGTCGGCATCCACCCGACAGTCGCCGAGGAGTTCACGCTCCTCGCCACCACCAAGCGGTCGGGCGACTCGGCCGAGAAGTCGGGATGCTGAGGCTAAGCCCGCAGCCGGCCCTCTCCGGGGGCCGGGCTGCGGGCGCGTGGGCTCCCCGTGCCGCCGACTCCGCGCTGTAGCGGCGGCAGCACGGGCAGCCCGACAGTCTCTTTCGCTCGTCGCGCGCGAGCGACTCCTTGCGCGAGGCTCATGATGGCGGCGACACGGAAAAGCGGGCCCTCCGCTCGTGCGCCGCCGGAGACCGCCTCGCAAACACCAACCGGGCGGGAATTTTTGGGGGAGGGACAACGTTCGGGGAACTGAGAGTGGGACCTCCGGGTGAATCTGTCTCTGTGTGGCGGGAGCTGCGAAGTACTTTGTACGGGATGTTACACCTACGGATATGCACCCAAATTGTTCTCGATTTTTTAGACAGTGAAACTTTCTCCGCCACGCTCTGCCCGCCTCCCCGCGCCTCCGCGCCCCTCGCGCCTCGGCTCCGCGCCCGGCGCCCCCGCGGCTCCACCCCGCACCTCCGGCTCTCCGCTCCCCGTGTCCTGCGTCGACGACCAATCGTCTGCAGCTAGCCGCGACAACGACACACCACCATGGCGCGCGGTCGTGGCTGAGGCCGACGTCACAGGTTAAGGTTCCGGTGCTGTTCCGGAACCGTGAGAAGATGCAACGGCACAGTCGATATGCCTGGCACGCCCCTCGCGGCGAATAGGATCGCCCACACCTGCCGACGGGCGGGGACAGTCTCAGAGTACCTCTCTAGTGGTGCGGCGGTCCATCCTAATGCTGCCCGCCGTGAGTGTAAAGGGCGTGCCGAGCGCGGGGAGACCGACCGGGGAGAGCAAGTTCCACAGCGCTGCCGAGAGGAGGTAGGAGTAGAGGGCGCCCACGAGGAGTGAGAGCCACACGCGCCACCCTCGCACGACGAGGAAGAAGCCGCCGAGGGCCATGCAAGTGAGGACCGTGTTGAAGCCAAGTAAACCCGTGCTGACGAGGCTCGGAGACACGCCGGAGGCCACCTGAAGCGCGACCGCGACGCAGGCGCCGAGGATCATCATCGCCGCCGTCGTTGGCGACGACAGAAGTACCGCAACGACAAAGCCGGCGCCAGAGTACTCGGAAGGGCTGAACGCTGTGTTCCCTATCGTCACGAGGAGTGCCCTCCCTAGCGCTTTGGTGTCGTACTCGACCACCTCCACCGCCGCCCCGTCTCTCGGGTTGGGCGGTGGAAGCGCCGGCTGAATGACGGCCCCATTCACTGGAAAGTAGGCGAGCAACCCGCCGCTGCAAGCAAGCAACCATGCGTAAGCCGTAGCGACAAAGGGAAGCGCGAGGGGCACGACGCCAAACGTTGGCACGATGAAGTTGCCTGCCGCATTGGTGAGGAATGAGGACAGTGAGGCGAGGACTGCGAGGGCGACGAGGAGCGATGGAGGCGGCGCGACAGTGGACTCAAAGGTGGAGAAGAGGGCCAGAGCTTGCCCGAGTAAGAAGCCGGACATACCATACAGTCCATTGCGCAGCGCGCCCGGGTCCACGACCAGGGCGTGTGCGGTGATCGTGGCGGCCGATACACCGACCGTCGCGCACACGCCGGCAACCCAGCTATGTTGGAAGGACGCGCATAGTGCGACCACACCGGTGACGGGGTTGTTTGAGAAGAAGGCCTGCGAGACTCCGCGGAGGCACTCATCCACAAAGATTACTGCAGGTCCACCGCGGTCAGCGGCCTTGAGCAATCGTGGCATGGTGCCGAGCCACCAGGAGCCAGGCATCGCAGCAACCTTTGCCGCGCTCCGAGTCGGCTCTCTCCCGGAACCATCAGAGAGGTGCGATGCCGGCCGCCCAGATTCGGAGCCATAGGTTCGAAAGGTCCTGTCCGGGGTCTCCTCCTCCGTCTCCGCCATCTGCCGCGCTCTCCGAGCTACCTAGACATCGCCCCTGCTGCAAGCGCTCGACGCGTCGAGTACTTATGACACGCTTTTACTGAAAGTCGGTGACATTCTTGGGCTGCACAGATGTTTCCTCGCTCACCCCGTCTCGTTTCTCCGTGTTTCTCTAAAGCACCCTCTCCCTCTCTAGTTTCCCGAGGAAACTCCGTGGAAAGTCCTAGTCTGGACGGGTTTTTTTGTTTGCGGTATCTTGATGTATCTCTCCAATATCTGACTGTATCTCCCCGTATCTCCTTGCATCTCCTCGCATCTCCCCGTATCTGCCCGTATCTGCCCGTATCTGCCCGTATCTGCCCGTATCTCGTATCTCCTGGTATCTCCCGGTATCTCCCGGTATCTCCCGGTAAGCGGTATCCCGCCATATCCCGCCATATCCCGCCGCGGATACCGCGAAAAAAACCGTCCACACCAGGGATGTGGAAATCAGCTGGTTTGGGCCCAAAATCAGCCAAATCGGCAAATTACCTGGAAAACCCCGGGTATACCTGGAAAATACCCATTTTGCCGGTTTCCTCGGTTTCGCCTCAGATTTTGCGCCCCAGACCAGCTCTCAGACTCAGTCAGGGAAACTCGAGACGGTTTGGAATGCGAACGAGTCACTTGATAGGGCCGATTGCGCGATTGGTTGGGGCGGGCCACCCTGTCTGTCTAGAGATGGTTTTGTTCTGTCTACCGACCGGTACTCGAGTACAGACACCTGCGGTGTCTTACTTTTAGTTCAATCGATCGCCTGCCGCCACCATCACTGGGATTTCATAAAAAGAAAGCAAAGGTTCACGATTCCCAAGATGGGAGAAGGAGAGTCTCCAAGAGGAAGAGGGTTCGGCGATTTCTTCTCTTGCCGGTGTGTGTGCCAGTCCGCGCCAGTCCGCGCCCTTGTCGTGCCAGCGTGTTGTGAGAGAGGCTTTTTTTTCAGATTCTTCTCTTGACGCTGCGCCCTTGTCGTGCCAGTGTGCTGTAGTAGAGGCTTGTATTTTTCAGATTCTCTTGACGCTTCCCTGGGTTCCGGCTCCTACCCAGATAGGGGGTCTGTTGACCCTGACTCGCACCAAAACGCCCTACTTATCTACCTATCCCCAGGCCGCGCGCAGCGAAGCGAAAAAAGACAAAAATAGGGGCTACCTAACTATGCGGGGCCCTCTGGGGCGGTCAAAACCGGACCTACCTACCTATTGCGTAGGTCTAACCGTGGTCAACAGAACCCCTATCTGGGTAGGAGCTGTGAACAGAACTTCGCATTCGTTGGGACCCCGGTGTTGCCCCGGGGCATGTCTGACTGCTACCGCGCGACTTTGACTTCATTCGAGCTGGCATTAGATCTAACACAGGAAGAGAAGTCGAGTATCTAGATACACTAGTTTATCTCGGCTTCTCCACATGACCCAAGCATCTGCACCGTGAGGTGTGATACATTGGCGCGTAATAAAAGGGTCAGTCTGGAGTCGCGTGCCTCCACAACGGAAGAGCTACGCAGTACCTGACATCCCCTGGGGTCTTGCCACTAAAGGCGGAGGGTTGGGACTCAAACAGCTTGGACGAACTGCAGGTCCGGAGGTAACCTCAAACGTCCTGCAGCCGGCCGCGGCGCCGTAAGGGATCGCACCTCAGACCAGAGGTGGAGCTCGAGAGGGACTCAGGAGAGGTATCCGTGAGTACCCTACGATAAACTAGTGGCCTACCACGAGTTGGGGCCCCCACACCCCAATCGTTCGTTATCGGCCGTGTGAGTAAGTCACACACTCGTATCGGCCAAGAAGATTTTTCATACCCCCTAAGAGGTACCTTGTGCCAATGCTGGGCGCAGCCGAGAGATAAATTCTCCGCAAGAGAGCCTGCCAGCCGCAGCGGTGCAGAGCGCGAACTCGCCGTACTGAGCCTAGCGCAGCGCGAACTCGCCGTCTGAGCCTAGCGCAGCGCGAACTCGCTCCTATTCAGAAAGAAAGAAAACAGACACCCAAGGGAGGGATGGAAGGATGTTCATAGCTGCGCAACAGCCGAGCTCCATTTTCATACTGTTGTGGCCTAAAGTCTGCCCAGGTTGTGGGGGACACGATCCCGGCGTGAACACGACTAACTGACGGATCCGCTCCTGACAGTCGCACGCGCCGCAGTGCGATGCGACTGTCTTTGTTTGAAGTAAAAAGTCGAATCAGAGCCGTCGGCGTTGTCCCACGATTTTGTCCAACGGACCGCCCGTCCGGCACCGCTCCGGGACGCACGCCGGCGAAGCACCATCAAGCTGCTGTACGGCCCCGGCATCGCCTTCCCAGGCTTAGCTAGACTGAGAGATATTGTGGGCATGGTTGGTCTCTACAATATATACACTGACACTTTACCTCCCAGAGCTCGTCCCGGTCCGTCACGGCCATCCTCGGCCTCCGGAGGGCCCCCGGCCGCGGCGCGGTGCGGCGGCGTCACAAATCCGACCACAGAGCACCGGGACGCGGTCGGTCGGGCGATCTGAGGCCCAACTAGGCGTATGCATTGCCCATCCAGGGCTGTCACCTGGACCTATCAACAGGCGCCTGCGGCGCCGTGCGCAGGAGCTGCTGCTCCAACCTGTTCACGTAAACGCACAACCCCGGGCCCGAAATCGCACAGAGTCACGCAACACGGGGTCCCAACCTGTACCTGTGGTGGTGGTTCACACAAAACACACGGCCCAATACCGCACAATCAGCCTGCTCGCGCAACAACGCCCTCAGGCCCAGACCCTGCTCGAGAATGCCCTCGCGCTGGTGGGAGGAGCCCTTCGGTCACCGCTCCGACGCGCACCAGGAGATTCTCATGCTTGACGAGAACGAGCTGCACGAGCGCTTCCCGTGGACGGCTTCGCTCGTCTTCAACACCGAGATGAAGAAGGGCGGCTTCAGCGAGAAGCACGTGCCTTCCGACTCGTACCTCGTCGGCTCCAAGAAGACGAAGGGCGTGCCGGTGGAGCATCGCTGGGTGGTCGGGAACGAGCAGGGCGAAATCCTTCCGGCCTTCCTGTTGTGCAAGCTCCAAGCGATCGAGTCGGGCAAGGCCTTTGGCCCGCACGGCATTCGCACCGACGAGGAGCAGCGCAGCCGCATGTACGCAATGCTCCGCAAGGGCCAGCACATGGGTGTGCTCAAAGGGGGCTGCCGCGAGGCGCGCGAAGCGCGCCCCAAGAAGAAGAAGCAAAAGGCGGCTACGAACACTGCCGCGGCGGCGGCAGCGGTTCACGCGAGCGACGCTCCCGGCTGGTGTTCCCACCCCGAGCACGCGCACCTCGTCGGCGTGATGAGCGACGCGCTGGACGGCAAGTACGGAGCCCCTCGCAGCGCATTTGTGATCGAGGAGCGCCTCGACCGTTTCCCCGGCCTCGGGCTCCCTGGCGGGGCGAGGCACGACTCGCTGCTCGAGGTGAGCGGCCACAAGCTGCTGGACCAGGAGCCTGCTCTGCGGTGGAAGGCCGCCGCCGCCAGCGACACGACCGCCGCCGGCTCGACGGACGACGAGGTGATCCTCTGCGGGGACGACGGCGACGACGCGGAGCTGCCCGACGCGATCTACATGCAGGACGGGCGCGCGCTCGGCGCCAAGTACGAGCACGCGAAGCACGGCATGCGGCTCGAGGCGTGGTGGGGCCACGTCGTGGAGCGGCAGGCCACGGACTGGGTCGAGTGCGTCCTCCTCCTCGGCGCGGACCAGCAGGTCTGCACGGCAAAGTGCCTGCCGGCGATGAAGGCCGCAGGCATCGTCGTCATGCGGCGGGCCACGTAGGCGGCGGGCCCCGTGCCGCGCCGCACTTCCGGTGTAAAGAGGAGCGCTGCAGTTTGCGCAGCGTGGCGCCCCGTACTGTCTCGCGCCTATAGTCTCGCCTACTGTTCCCGCGCGCTCCTCTTCAAGACGCAATTTCTTTTTTCTATATACGGCTCTATCCTCTAAGTCTAACCACACTCCACACACAGCGAATCAGAAAGGACGAACGATAAAAGGTCACACAAACGAGGGGGAGAAGGACAGGTCGAGGTCCCCACCTTGCAGAGCAAGGATCGATCTATCCTAAGGACGATCAGGGACACAGGGGAACGGGAGCTGCAGGCGCGGTTAGGTTAGGTGTAGGTAGGAAGGCGAAGAACAGTCAGGCTCGGACTGGACACCAGGCGCGGGGGCCTCCCACTGACTGGTTGCGCTCTCTCCTGGCAAAAGGGACAGCGACAGTGCCTAGTGTCGGTCTAAAATTCTTAAAATTTCGTCTTGTCCTTTCGCCTGCGGAAACCTGCATGATTGATGGGGGGGAACCTCGCTGCATCTCCGTCTCGGTATGTCCGCGCGCTTCGCACGACTGTTGGTCGTTCCAGACGGCCCAGGCCGCAGCGACAACAGGCTCACGCGCGGCGGCAGCGGTGGTGGCGCCCTCGACGGCGGCCAGACCTGCGGCAAACGATGGCCCTCCGTCCGGCTCCTTGCCGTGAGGAAGGACTTCGCTCACCTCGGAGACGGTCAACAGCAAGCATACCGGCAAGCCCGCAACAAGTGGGCTGCAGCGGGCAAAAAGCGCAAGCGACACGAAAGCAAGCATGCTGAGCGAGCCACAGGTAAATTCTTTTCCCGACACTTTCCGACGGCCGACTGCGCGCGAGCCTCCTGCGGCGACGGCGACGGCTGCGGCCAGCGCTGCAGCACCTCTCCAAGCATTTGTGGCATCTGAGAACCTGGACCTGTCCGCCTGGTCCCGGGGAGGCGTGAGTCAGCTCGCTCATCATCGGATGCCCGCGAGGTGCTCGTCCGGTGGCCCGGAGCTCGTGACCTCAAACGATGGGGGAGTCGAGCAGCGGCGTGGCCGTGGGCACTTGGAGCACTTGGAGTGCAGTCATTAACCGCACATCCAGGGCCAGGGAGCTAAGAAGCGCACCCAGCGGGCCGGATGATTGGCATCGGGTTGCGGGCAAGAGAGCCCTAGCCCTGGGGGTGCGCGTTCGCAGGGAAAGGGCCGTAAAATAAACACGGGTCTCCGAGGGTTGGACCCGCGTACCGGGTTTCCCCTTAACTGCAGGACGCCCCCTCTACTCGGAGCTAGTGGACATTACACGGTACACCACGCCCAAACACAGACACTTGCTTAGTCCTCGGTCCCGGAGCTCCACTTTCCATCCTCCCGGGGCTCCGGTTCTCCCCGATTCGCTCTCTTGTTCGCTTGCCGAGCGTCATACGACGGCCGGTGTGGTCGTTTCTCTCGTTGTTGGTGTCGCTTTCTCCGCTGCCGCCTTTCGTCTTCGCCGGCTTCTCCCGGCTCCACCGGTTCCGAGAGTGTCGACGGCCCGGCCGAGGTTTCCCCGGGCGAGGGCGGTGGCATAGGGTCGCGTCGCCTCCCCGCCCAGGGAGGTCGGGCCGGCTCTCCCTGGTCGACGAGTCGCGCCCGCATCCGCGGCCTCTCTATCGTTCTCGGCTCGCCCCCCCCTCCGCCGGCTCCTCCTCAAGCTCGGGGAGGCGTGGCCCTCCTTGTCGCAGATCCCGGTGGTCCGGCTGCCACTGCGACGGGCGGGCCTTCCCCCGGTGAGCTCGTGCAGTGGGCGGGAGAGGGCTCTCTCTGTCGGCCGAAGCTGGCCTCTTGGCCGGCCAGCGGGAAGTCGACGCCGGTAGAGAGGCGTCAATGCATCCCGCTGCGGGGGATTTGGGTGCCGAAACGCCGTTTTTCTTGCATTCTCGGCGATCTGTGTTCGCGGGCCGACTCGCTGGCGATGCGCCTCGGCTGCCGCCTGGGCGGCGCGCGGCCCGCGCGGCTGCTGTGCGCTCGGAGGCTCTCGACGAGCGGCCTCCCCTCGCCGCTGCCGCCGCTGCCGCCGTCCCAGCCCACCGCCGCCGCAGGAGCGGAGTCCGCGCTGGCGCCCGCCGCGCCAGGGCTGCTCGGGCTCCCCTCCATCTACCTGGAGCTGTCCAAGGCGAAGTTGAGTGGGCTCGTCGTGATGACGACGGGCGCGGGCCACCTCCTCGCCCAGCTGCCGCTCGACCCGCTGCTGCTCGGCGCGACGCTGAGCGGGACCTTTCTGTGCGCCGCGTCGGCAAACACGCTGAACCAGGTCATCGAGATCCCGCGAGACGCGCGTATGGCGCGCACCGCGAAGCGGCCGCTCCCCTCCGGCCGCATCTCGCCCGCGCACGCGCTCGCCTTCGCCACCACCACGGGAGGCGCCGGTGTCGGGACTCTGCTCGCGCTGACCAACCCGACGACGGCGGCTCTCGGCGCGGCGACGATCGGGCTATACGCGGGCGTGTACACGCCGCTCAAGCCGGTGACGCACTACAACACATGGGTCGGCGCCGTCGTGGGCGCCGTGCCGCCCCTCATGGGATGGACGGCGGCGGGGGGGGAGCTGCTCAGTCCTGAGGCGGCGCTGCTGTCGGGTGCAGACAGACCTCCTCCCCGCTCCCTCCCTCCGCCCCTCCCCTCCCTCCCCGCTCCCTCCCTCCGCCCTCCCCTCCCTCCGCCCTCCCCTCCCTCCCCCCCCACACACACTCGCCGCCCTCCCCTTCTCTCCGCCGCCGCCACCCTCGCTGACAGCAAGCCTCGCCACTTCCACCGCCCCCCCGCGCCTCCCCCCAACCCTCCCCTCCCCTCTGCCACCACCTCCACCTCCGCCGCCCCCGCCGCCCCCACCTCTTCCTCCCTCCGCGCGGCTCCGCGGCGAGAACCGAACCGGGCTCGGGCTCACCCCTCGGCGCCTTCCCCAGGCGCGCTCTTCCTGTGGCAGATCCCGCACTTCCTCGCCCTCGCGTGGATGCGCCGCCGCCGCCGCCGCCGCCGCCAGGCGCGACGGATGGCGCCCCCCGAGGCTTCTCGGAGCCCTCCTGTAGGTACCGCGCCGACTACGCCGCGGGCGGGTACGAGATGCTTCCGAGAAGAGACCCGACCGGCCAGCGGACGGCGGCGGTGCGCAGCGGCCGCTCTCGCCGCCTTCTCCGAGGAGGGGCCGTCGGTGAGCCTTCCGGGCCCTCCCCTGTAGGTCTGCCTCGAGTACTCCTGCTACCTGACGGCGCTCCCCTTCGCGGTGTGGGCCTCCGGCCTCACCGGCTGCATGTTCGCTGTCGAGTCGCTCGCCTTCAACGGCGTCATGCTCGCCGCCGCCGCCCGGTTCGTCCTCGCGCCGCCGAATGCGCGCGTGCAGCAGGCGCAGTACGCACGGCGGCTCTTCTTCGCGTCGCTCGGCTATTTGCCGCTCTTCTTCGGCTGCTTGCTACTGCACCAGCAGTCGAACCGGCACGCCGCGACCGAGGACGAGGAGGTCGCCGCGCCGGAGGCTGCGCGGGCTCGTTTGCGAGAGGCGCGCCGGGCGGGCGGGCGGGGTTGGAGTTAGTGGGGGCTGGAGGAGAGAGTGGGAGGTGGGGAAGAAGAGGGCGGGGGCCCACGCTTCGCGCCCCGCTGCGCCGCAGGCGGGCCGGCAGTACTGCCTGCACGAGCAGCTCGAGGCGCCCTCGCTCTGCCCCAAGGGCGCTGCCGACGAGGTTGCTGCTGTGGCGCACGAGGTGGCCGCGGGGGCGGCGGCGGGCCTCGCCGGCTCACGGCAAACGCAGCCGCCCTCGTGAGGTGTGCGACGCTAATTCCGACGCCCTGCCGCGGCCGGCGTGCCGGTTGGTTGCGGCTGCGGGCAGCAGGAGAGGAGCGGGCTGTGCGTGGATGCATAGGGGTGGTGAGCAGTGCGAGCCGCGCTGTGCTCGTTGTGCCAGACGGCCCCCTGCAATGGGCGGTCTGCTTGCCCCCCCGATGGAGGCGTCCGGGCCCGTCGAGCGGCTGTGTATCGTTCCCACGTGCCGATGTTCGAATGCCGTCGCCGTGTCTTGGGCTCGCGCCACCACTCGTCGCCCGTTCGTGCTGTGATGCAGACACGCGGGGGGTGTGTGCGCGCGCGCCTCTGCGCGGTTTGAAGTGCCCGATTTTACTTGTCTTTGTGGCAGACTGCAGTGATGAGAGAGAGATAAGTGGGGTCCACGAAGACCTCTCCTCTAGGTCCACAATTAATATTTAGAATTTACGGGAAAAAGTGTCGCCCCGGGTGCCCGGACCAACTGCCCTTAGAGCCGTACCCCTTAGGGTACCCCTAGGCTTAAAAGGGTGGGCCCTGGGGCGCCTGCGGCTTAAACGGCTTAAAACCTGCCATGGCAGGTTTTAAGAGCTGCTGGGCCGCCGATTCCTTAAACGGTCTTAAACGCTTAAACGGTGCGGGAGAGCTCCCGAGGTCGATGGTCCGGGAGGCTCCCGGTGTGTAGAGTAAGTCGTAACTGGCTACAGTCAGCTAGCACGCGCCCCCTATGCGAGTATGGCTCCTGCCAGTGCACCAGACTTACAGATGTGTCTTCAGAGGCGGGTTGTGCCTAATAACGGCAGTATTGGAGAAAACGGCGCGGAACCCAGCGACGGGGATGCCGGCGAGGCCGATTTTCTTAAGGTTCCCCGGGCCACTTTCGGGGGGCAAACCCTGCCCGGCCCCTAGAACCCCAGGTAAGGCCCAGGTGTGGCCTAGGGCATCAGAAGGGACCAAGAGGAGTCCAGTCTGAGCCATAGAGCCAATGTCTTTGCCCCCGAAGGTCGCGTTCAAATGCCCGGAACGGACGTTACAGTGGTGTCCGGCCGGCGCGATCACCGAGCTGTGACGCTCAGGGAAGCCTGATGAGGTACTGGTTTCTTTGCCCAGGCCTGGCCTACGACCCGTGCTGGATCAGCTGAGCAAGGTTTGGGGAGAATCCCCCGGTCAGATCTTCAGATATTTTGACGGATGACCGAAAATGCTCGAGTCCGCAACGCCCACGGGGCGAATGCGATTGCCTGGCCCTATCGCCAAACGGCTCTGCTCCTCCTCTTGTCTGGCGGCAATCGCAAACTGCGGCACAGGCCGCGTTGGCGCAGAGGAGGCGGCAAGCCTCAACGCGCCTACCCGTGGCATACCGCCGGATCGGGCCAAGACTAAGGCTGCAGGCGTCGGCCCCGGCTGCTGCGAGGGCCCTCCCGGTGAGGTGTCCATCTTATGTGCAGTGGGGCTACAACTGTAGCGCGTCGGCAGGATCCCCAAAACCGTAAACCCCCCAAAATTGAATTCGACGGAGCAAAGCTCCCCCCCCCCGCAACAATTAAACCGCCATAAACATCATTGTGCAGGGGCTCCAGGCCCCAAATGACGTGTGTGAGTGTTAGAGTTGTTGGTGTGTTGTGTGTGTGAGATCTCTCTCTCTCTCTCTCTCTCTCTCTCTCTCTCTCTCTCTCTCTCTCTCTCTCTCTGCATGTCCGCATGTCCGCATGTGCCGGTTTTTGGGGCTTGTTTGTGCGCGCCGTGGCACCAGTGGCAGTGGCGGCGGGCGTGCCGCGGCGAGTGACAGTGAGGCTGCTGCCGGGCGCGCAACACTCGACAAGGTCAGTGTTGGGTGAACTGTTGGCGCGAAAAGCCAAACGAAAAAAAAACGTGGTCTGACTATCCCGAATTTCTCTTTAGCTCGGTCGGTCACACCGCCATCACCGCCGACGTCTCACAGTGAGATGATGGAGGAGGGGGGACGACACTGCTCCACAGCAGCGTGCACCTCGATCCTGAGAGAGAGATTTTTAGAAGGCAAGCCAACAAGAAATCTGGCACTGACAGTGATTTGGGCTCGGCAGCTTGTCGACTACCAGCCGAAGCCGGAGTCGGAACCCGTAGCCGATATGGTCGCCTCCGGCTCCGGCTCCGGCTCCCCCTGACGCCTGACTGAGAGACTGAGCCGACACTGGCGCATCTCATCTCTATGTGGACTTGCAGCGCGCAGCGCAAGCGCTCTCAAGCGGGAGAGAAAACTAAAGATGCTCCTCATAAATTTCACCTATTTTTTGCCTCTTACTAGCTCCGCTGCGACACGTGGACGTGTGCGCACTGCCGGCCGGCACCGGCACAGGCGGAATAGAGCCACCTTCATGTGGACGCATGAGTCTTGGTCGGAGGAGGAGTCGTCGGAGGAGAAAAAGCGGCGTCCCAGCCCACGCGGTCGGCCGACACCTTTCGCTTGCGGCCAGTCACCGCCGGCGCCTCGAACGTGGACTCGTAGCCCGATTCAGCCGTCTGGCGTCTCGCCTCGAACGTGGACTCGTAGTCCGATTCAGCCATATTTGGCGTCTCACCTTATGTTTTCCGTCTGACTCCCTTGAGCGGCGGCGACTCTCGTTCGGGACTTAGAATTCATGCGGGATTACACGCCGACTTTCGGCACTTCATTTTTCGTATTTCTTCTTTTTTCACCCCTGTCGTCATATTTCTCATCTTATTGCACTACTAGTACCACACACCTGGCTCCTCTGCGCTAGCTAGGTAGGGCTGCCCTAGCTAGGGGCTGCCGGACATGCATGCATGGCTCGAGCGACACAGAAGCTCACAAGACACAGAGTGTGAGTGTGAGTGAGTGTGTGAGACACACACACTCACACACACTCACAGTTAGGCCTCCTCGTGATCCCCGTCCGCCCCGTCCGCCTCCGCCTCCAGCGGAGGCGCCGTCGCACGCACCGCCTCCAGCGCCTTCTGCGCCGCAGCAGCCTCCTCGCGCCGCGCCCTGACCACCTCGTCGCGCTTCTCCACCTCGTCGCGCTCCGGCGCGTCCGCCGGCAGCTCGGAGAAGGTGAGCGCGGATCGGCCACACGTGGCTCCGCATGATGTTGAACTGCACCCCCACCGTCTTCGCCCCCCGCCCGACGAGCTCACACCCCTGCCGCCGCGACGCGTGCGGATGCGGCTCGTCAGCAAGTACTGCAGAAACACGAGGGTGAGCTGCTGGCACGGATACCCGTCCCGCATCCCGTTCGCAAAGTTGGAGCGCATGTCCGCATCGCCGCCGTCTTCGTCAAGCCGCTCCATCTCCGTCTGGAAGTCGTCCCACCGCTTCGCCACCTCGTCGCACTGCCTCTTCAAGTGCTCGCCGAGCGGCGCGAGCATCTGAGCCGCCCGGCCCGCCGGCTCCGCAATGGGTTGATGCAGCACCGCCGCCACGAGGGCGCTCCGCCTCCGCTTCGCCAGGCGCGCCGTGGTGTCCGTCGCCGCGAGCGGCGCCAGCAGCGCCGCCTGCTCCGCCGTCCGCTCCTCTGCCGCCGCCAGCTCCGCCTCTCTGGGCGCCTCCGCACGTGCCTGGTGCTGCACGGCGCGCAGCTCGCCCGCCGCGCGCCTCGCCCTCTTGGTGATCGGACGGCCGTGCGCGAACGGGTCGTCCGCGTCGCCCGCCGCCGCCCGCCTCTCGTGCGGCACGGTGTGCAGCGCCTCCGCCGGCCACGCGAGCCGGATTGCCGCGCCGCGGCCCTCGCCCAGCCGCTGGAATGCTCCGCCGCCTTCGTTCGCCTTGTCAGCCGCTCGGGCCGCCGCCGTCAGCGCCGCGCCCTTGCCGACGAACAGGAGCGGATTCGGCATCGCAAGCCGAAGCGAAGGCGACGTCGTCGGCCATCAACAACTTTGCCTGACGCGCAATCGCCTCCCTTGGCTGACACGCTCTTTGTGCCACCTTCCGCCGGCGCTCGCCTTTCGCCTGACGCACAATCGCGCCACTACCAACATACATAGTTAGGAAGGTGAAGAACAGCCAGGCTCGGACAATGTCATTCCAACGGTGTTAGTTTTGGCGCGAAAAGCCGAGAAACGCGAAAACAAACCGGCGCATGGGTGTAGGTTGCGGAGGGGTCCCGTACCATGCGGAATCGACCCTATCAAGTGCTCAAGTGCTCAAGGTGAAGAACAACCAGGACGCGAAGTGTTGGCGCGAAAACGGCTGGGAAATGCGAAAAAAACCCGTTTCCCGATCTGGCTGCTTCGGGTCCACACACCAAACACAAGGTGCACACACGCCCCTCGCGGGTCCCCACGTGGGCGCCGCACCTGCCCGCATCTACGCGCGCACACCCACCGCGCCGGGGAGAAGCGTTGCGCGCGCGCGGCGTGGCGCGAGGATTGTGCTCGCGCGCGGCGGCGGCGACGCGTTTTTGCGGCTGCGCGGACTGGGCTGTGTTTGGTCGGGCGCGCGTCAGGGGCCCGGTCGGCAGCCTCCGCCCTCGGTGCCACGGCCTCTGTGCGCCCTGCGCGGTGGCGGCGGCGGGAATCCCGCAGCGCGCGCAGAGCGCGCGCAGTTGCAGCCCGCAGCGCGCCAGAAGCAAGGGAGGTGGAGGAGGTGGAGGCTCGCGTGCGCGCGCGCGGACCCGACGGGGGAACGCGCGTGCCCGCCGTGTGTGTCGCATCCCTGTGCGCGGTGGCGGCGGCATTCCTCCCAGCGCGGGCAGAGCAACTGCCGACGCACCCAAGCGCGCGCTGATTTTTTGTCATCTGCTAACCCCCCCCCCCCCTTTCCCAGCAGGCCATGCTCTTCGGCGTCAAGCTCCGCAGCGGCAGCCACCCGCCCTGGGTGAGCAAGTACGTACCGTACGAGCTGCTCAAGCAGACTATCTCGCAGCTCGAGCCCAACTGCGAGGAGAATGCTGCGATCGAGGGGATCTTCCTCACGCAGCTGCTGTCCGCGGTGCACCAGGTCAACAACTTTTACCTGAGCAAGGAGCAGGAGCTATCCACGCGGCTGGAGGCGCTCACGGCGCTGCTGCACTCGCCGCGCCAGTGGGTCCTCTCCCACATCGAGGCGCACGACTCGGTCTCGCTCCCCTCGCTCGTGCCTCTCTTCGAGGCTGGCGTTCACGCGGCCAAGGACAAGGTCGACGCGCTCGGAGAGTTTGTGCGGCTGTGCGAAGACATTGACCACCTGCGCAAGTACTCGGTCCTCAACTACCTCGCCGCCGCCAAGGCGCCGCCCCGCTTGTCCCCCGCCCGCCCGTCCGCCCCGCGGAACCGGTCGTGACAACCCCCCCCCCCCCCTGCCCGCCCACCGCTGCAGATTGTCAAGAAGCACGACAAGCACTCCTCCATCTCCCTGCGCGAGTCCGTGATGAAGTTTGTCGGCTCGCTCCCCTTCTACCAGTCCCGCCTCCTCGCCTCCTCCTTCACGCACGCCCAGTGCATCGCCTCTGAGATTGTCGCCTCCGCCGTCGGCTCGGCGGCGCTCGACCTCTCCGCCGAGTACACGTGCGGCATCTGCATGGACGTGCTCAACATGCCCGTCGTGCTCTCGTGCGCGCACCGCTTCTGCTACGGCTGCCTCTCGCGCGCCTGCCTCTACGACCACCACTGCCCGCTCTGCAAAAAGGACACCGACCTCGACCCCTCAAACTACCACATCGACCCGATACTGACCAAGTTCGTCGACGCGCACTGCGCGCGCGATCACGGCGGAGACGAGGGCGGCGGCAGCCTGGCCGGCGGCGCGTCATCGTCCGCGTCCGACGAGGCCGAGGGGGTCACCGACGCCCGCAAGGGCCAGCCCCTCTTCGGCAAGCCGCTGCTGAAGCGATGCTCCGCTCCGACCATCCCGGCGGGCTCCGACAAGGGCGCTGCGCCGCCCCGGCCCCCCTCGGAGTCGGACGAGGACTCCGCGACCGCGCCGGCCGAGGCCGAATTCGACCGGCCAACCGGCCAGATTTTGCGCTCGCTCAAGGCCGGCGGCGCGGCGCCTTCCGGCAAGGACGCCCTCGTCCCCGCCAAGCTGTCGCCCTTAGACGCGGCTGCCCTGGGCGTCGGCGTCTCTGTGCAGCTTCCGCCCGTGGTGCGGAATGACCCGGCCGACTTGAGCCCGCGCTCGAAAAAGCTCGGCATCGCCGCCGCCTCGGCCTCGGGGCCGCGCTCCGCCATGAAGAAGAAGGCGTGCGTCGAGTGCCACAGGGCCAAGGCGGCGTGCGAGGGCGACCCGTGCGTCCGATGCATCCGGCTGGGCAAGACGTGCGTGACGCTCGCCCGGCTGCCGCGCCGCCGACGGATCAAGTCGGGCGAGGACAGGGCTGCGGGCGGCGGCAAGGCGGCTGCCCTCGCCCCGCCCGCCGAGGTGGTCGCCCCCTTCGCCTCCCCCTCCGCCGCCCGCCCGGCGCCGATGCCCGAGGCGGGCACGCGGCGCACAAAGGCACCAAAGCTGTCCGACGCGCCATTCGGCCAAGTCCTCGACGCAGACTTTGTGGACGCGCGGCTGCTGTCGGACCCGCCGGAGGCGCCGGCGTTCGCCAACCCCGTCCCGTCGCAGGTGCCCGCGTTCGCCACGAGCGCCGGCCCCGGTGCGGGGATCTCGGACGACTGCATGTTCCTGTCCACCGACGAGCTCACCTCGCTCATCACCGCCGTCGACTTTTAGCCGGGAGGAGGCCTCGCGCCTCGCGCTCGTCGTGCATGCTCCCGGTCGCTAGCCGCTAAGCGGACCCGACCGGCAGGAGGGGGGCGTCTCGCTATTGCGGCCCGTGCACCGGGGTTGAGGATATCATTGCGGAGCTAGTGTTCTCGCGGTGTGAGCAACTCTGGCGCTGGCAGCCTAGTACGTCAGTAGCGCCGGCCGCTCTTGGCGAAAAAAATCCTGAAATCTCTCTGACTCTGCGTACGAATTTTCCGACGCGGTGAGGCGCGGGATAGGGTGGCAGGGGTTTGTGCACGACGCAGTGCAGCAGGCTGTGATGCAATATGGCTATGACGACGAGCTCTACCAGGCATGGAGGGACGGCGAGATAGGCGAAAAGGACTTGCCGGAGGAGGTGATGGCTATGACTTTGGACCTTTGCGAGAGGTGGCGAGCGGAGCAAGCGCGGTGTAGGCGCGCCCACGCGGCGCAGCGGCTCTCCCGCGACCATAGCCCCTCCCGCAGCCGCAGCCGTAGCCGCAGCCCCAACTCGCGCCGCTCTTGTAGTGTCGGGTAGTGACCAGGGGTGAGGGGACGGAGATTGAAGATCCCTCACACCAAGATCGTGCAGGGCGGGGACACATGTCCCTAAATCCCCCATCTCGTCTCAGAGAATAAATAAATAAATAAAACGGGCACCTCTACTAGGAGATGGGTAAAAAGGAACAGGTCCCCGCCCTGCGGTCTTTGTGCAGGGTTCTTTGTGGGTGTGGTCGGCGACTAGCCGGGGTCGTCCTCCCGATGGGGGACTAGCACTAGCCGTCTTCCACATGGTCCCTCGGGTCCCTGCTGCTCCTAATCTCGTCGTACATCCTCCTGCTGATCTCCGCAAAGTCCTGCTCCCTCCCTCGTCTCGCCCTGCGCGTCTGCTCCGCCTCCCCGTCGTCTGCCCTGCGTCGTCTGGTGACGGGTCCTCCATAGTCGGTCGAGGTCGCCGCCCTCCTCGTGCCTCTTCCCAACGTTTCCTCGGCGGCCGATGCCGTCTGCTCCGACTCCGCCGTCCCCGGGTCTGCCCTGCCCTCGTCTGCGCTAGCTTCTGTTTCGTCACCACTGATGTCCCTCCTCTTCTTTCTCCTCTTCTTGTATGCTTTGTACATCGCGTCGATTCCTTTTCGCGTGAGCACCAGCCTGAAGCCCGCCCAGCAGCTGAACCGCTCCCTAAGTCGGAGGAGCATCATCAGTCTCACCCACTTCGCTTGCTGCCCACTGTCTCCGCTCCCTCCCGCTTGAGCCACCGTCGCGGTCCTCGTTCGTCCCACTGGCTGCTGGCCTGTCTGCGCGTTACCTCCGTTATCCCTCCCCCTCCGCGACTCCCTCAAGGCCGGCCGAGCCTCCTTCCACCCAGTGAAGAGCTTCCTCAGCCACTCGATGTGTTCCTCTCTCTTCATTATGCGCGCCGTAGCCTCATCATTGAGCTGGGTCCACCTCTGCACCGCTCCCGTCGCCGCCTCGGCCACGACTTGCAAGTTCCTCGTGACCCCGGCGCCAAGGTCCCTCCGGCTCTTCTCCGAGAGATCATCTACCAGCGCCGGCAACACCCCCCCGACGGCTGGGGCTAGTGCATCGTACCCGTCCTCATCCAGCACCCTATAGCGTGAGCCCTTCAGCGCAGCGACATGCGCTTTCCTCAGCGTCTTCAGCGTATCCTTGGAGTCGGGTGCCGCCTGGGCTACTTTGCTTATCGCCGTCCCCGTCTGCGCTCGCGCTACTCTGAGGAACCATCTGGCCTGCTCCCTATTCCCCAGGCAGGCGCCGCTAAGCAAGTGCGCCATTGTCGCCCTAGGCGGGTTCTCATCTTCCTCGGTCCATTGCTGCGCGGCTTTCCGCACGATCGGACACAGCGGGTCTCGCTTTAGTGCCGCCCTCCTCGCCGCGTCCCTCGCGGCCTTACAGACGAGGCAGCCCCTGAGTTCGCTCCTCGTGGCGGCGCCCGGGGTCTCTCTCCCCGCCTCTCCCCGCATGATCCTCTCGTGGTGCGCTCCGTGTGGCACCCCCGCCTGCTGCCGCACCCGCGCTCCCATGACGGTCTTTGTCACCACGTTGTGATCATCCACGTCGGCGAATTGTATCTCACGCTCGCCGTGCTGATCCTTGATCCGCTGACGCTTGTCCCATTTGTGTCTCGTCGTTCCCCTGACCACATCGCTCCACAGCGGCCCCGTCACCCCTGCCGTGTGCGATCCCGCCGTGAGTCCCTCGCCGAGCCCTCGTCTCAGAGACAGAGTTTGACCGTTTTTATTTATTTATTTACTCTGCGTACGAGCAACGAGGTACGAGTGGTAAGCGCAGCCGCAGGGCCCGCGGCCTGCGGGCCCGGCGGCCTCGGCCACAAGATCTCAGTACTCAGATCTCACGGACGGTTGGCTCGCAGTTCAGTTCTGGGGTCGTCCGTTTTTACTTATTTATTAGCGTTCATCGACACACAACTCTCTCTCGACACTGCACACTCCTCACAAACGCCGAAAGGGGTGGCCGTGTGGCACGTTCGGGGTCAGACACGCAAGTCTAAGGCAAGTCTGTCACATGAGTCATGACACATGGAGTCCACATGAGAGCTGAGTTCCAGATTATATATTCTTATTCTTATTAACTGTGTTGAGAGCGGCGGCGGGCGGGGCTCCGCGCGGCATGCGTGGAAAAAGTGCAATCCGCCGCTTTTCATAATCTGACTACTGAATCTGCAGAACCTCGCGCAACGACCAACGTCGGCAACGCAGAAACGGTGAAACGCACGAGAACGCCTGCCAGCTTCGCTCAATCTCACGCCGTTTCCCGCGCGGGCCCTCGCGAGATACATATGCACACATGGAAAGCGTCGCGCCCCGTCCCGGCTTCTCCGTCAGGGTCCAACCACCGAACAGTCTGCCTCACTACATCAACGTCACGTCCCACCCGGCCGTAGATCGCCCTCTCGCCGCCAACGATTGGCAGGTCGATGTGTCGCACATGGAAAGGCTTGGCATCGACAACTTGCGAGTCCCTCTGCTGGTCGGACCAACGCGATCTGTGGTACTGTCTCGCGACTCCGAGGCGCTCGCTACCGATGTGGTTTTCAACTGCGATGTTCTGCGCCTCGCTCTCTCCTCGATCGACGCGACAGAGCAGGCAATGCAGTTGGCGCCTGGGCCGCTGATACGGAGCAGACTTGTGGAGTTGGCCATCCAGAATGTGGAGGACGAGTTGGGTTGTGGCCCGCTCGGCCGCGATTTCGAACTGCAGTACGGTGCTGCTAACTACTGGGGAGGCACCGGAAAGGACCGATTGACCCCAGTTCCTCTGCGCACGCTTCAGATGTTGCACATGAGCAAGTGCGAGGAGCAGGCCGTGCCCAAGGCGGCTCCGACCGGGCCCTGGAGGTCCGAGCGCGCCAAGGCGGAGAGGACGAGCGGACACAGACCTGGTGGAGGCCCCACGATGAAGCCAGGCTTCCTCAGCGGTGCCGGCGGCGCTCTTTACCCTGACGGCTCCAGCGAGGGGATGCACCCCGAGGGCGCGGGCGACCCGCTGGGATGGATGCCGAAGGGTCTGCGCAGCCGCGTGGGCGTCGTTGACACCAGACACACGCCCGAGGCGCAACGGAGCGCGGTCGAGGCGCACATCAATACGCCACGGCTGGTGCGTGAGCGCGAGGGGGCGGCGCCGGAGCCGAGCGGGGAGAGGGCGAGAGGTGGTGCAGGCGGAGGAGGAGCTGCTTCGGGCCGCGGCGCGCCCAGGCACGCTCTCGAGGAGGACGGCTCGGGCGGGGTGGTGCTCACCGTGGACGTCCCGGGTGTCTCGTCGATGGACAACATTGAGGTGGACGTGTCCGACGCCGCCCTTTCGCTCCGCGCGGAAGGCTTCGAGCCGCTCTTCCTCGCGTGGCCGCGGCCGGTCGACGCCGCCCGCGCGACGGCAAAGTTCCGGAAGCTCAAGCAGCGGCTTGTCGTCCGGTGCCCCGGCTTGGTCAGGTGAGGACGTGAGGTGGTGTGTGTCGTGAGTGTGAGGAAGCTATGGGGAGGGTCGGCCTTGCAGGTCGGCCTGCGGGCCCCGAGGGTAGGACGGTCTCTGCGCGATCTGACTTTATAATTTTCCGGCACATGTGCATGTGTCTAGCTCTGTGACGAGATTTAAGTTGCTCTGTCACATACGCGCGGGGTCTCCGGGGTATTCGCGCTCATCGTGGAAGAAGGGGAGCGCGCGGGGAGATGCGGTGGAGAACGGGGCGGACTACGGGGATCGGCTTCTTACACCGCCCTTCTCCTCGCAGCGTAGGTCTCGGGCGGCGAAGAGAATCTCCCACCCTACAGGTAACCCTACAACACGTCGAGAATGGGCGTGAACAGAAACGGGAGGCGCCGTCTGGGTTCATTGTTCCGAGGTGACGACACTGCGGCAAGGCTCTCTCGGGGTCGTTGGGGCTCGGCCGTGCGGGCGGCGGTAAGCGGCGGGCGGCAGCAGTCGCCGACCAGCAGGCGTCCCCGCCTCCCCCTTTTCCTAAGCATGAACTCGACTGGCGGTAGCTCTCGCGTGCGAGACCCGCTCCGCTACAAGACGCAGCTTTGCCAGAACTGGGAGCGGTCCGCCACCTGCCCGTACGGGAGCCGGTGCCAGTTTGCGCACGGGCAGGAGGAGCTGCGGGCCCGCTCCTCCTCCGCCACGGGTGAGCGCGACTCCGAGAAGAGCGCCAGCATGCGCGCGTTTGAGGCCGGGCGCGCGTCATCGCCCATGGAGGTGCTGCGGGCCGTCGAGGGCAACACGGAGGACGACGACGACAGCGTGGCGGCGAGGCGCGGCTCGAAAGCCAGCCGCAACAGCCGCACCAGCGACGAGCCGCCCGACGAGCCCCCCGACCAGTCGCGCGAGCCTGGCGCGTGGACGTGCGGCGAGTGCAGCTTTGTCAACGAGCCCGAGTCATACCGCTGGTGGCCCAACTGCGCGCGGTGCCGCACGCCGGTGCCGGGGCGCGTGACCTGCCTGTACGGCGTCTCGTCCAGCGCCGTCGGCGACCTGATGGGCCCGGGCGGCGAGCGCATGGCCCGGCTGCGGCGAGAGACGCGGTGCTGCATCTCGATTGCGCCCGCCGGCCGGCCGCCGGAGGAGTTCAGCGCGCTGCACGGCACGCAGCGGCTGCGCCGAAGCGAGCGTGGCCTCGTGCTGGTCGGCGTCCCCGCGAGCACGGTCAAGGCCGAGGCCGAGATGCGGGCCGTCCTCGGCCCCGTCAAGGCCGCCGAGCTTCGCCGTCTCGTCGACAGCGACGCTCCGGCGGACCGCACAAGTACGTGTGACCGCACAGCCGCCGGGCAGGCGCTAGGGCAGGCGGGGGGCGCGGACCCCGCGAAGGGGGGCGCCGACGCGGCGCGCGGGTCGACGGAGGTGCCACCCGCCCCGCCCGTCTCCGCCTGGGGCACAGACGACGTCATCCGCTGCAAGGTATGCGGACAGCCTCACACTTCTCTCGCAGTCGACCTTTTTGGTGGGCCCGCTGGGGCTCTCCTGCCCATCTCGGTACATGGAGAGGGATCGAGGTGGCGAGGGGGGGGGGCCTGCCCCCCCCTGGCGGGGTGGGCCACCCCGCCATTAATTTTATTGCGCGAAAAGACTTGTGTTTAAGATCTTCGGCCCCCAAATTTAATTTCCGGAAACCGGCTCTTTGCGCATGTTCGCGGTGGTGACTGAGCCGCCCTCGCCCCGCCCCCCTCTCCCCGCCCCCCGCCCCCATCTCGCCGATGCATCTCCGGCCCCACTAGAGCTCCGACACCCCCCCGCCCCCCCCTGGCTCAGTCCAGCGGCACCGCCCAGCAGCACACAGCACACGCGTGCCCGCGGCGTGGTCCACAGGAGCGTGCGACAACTTCTGCGCGACTCGCCGCGACGCCGCCACCGCTCCGGCCCCCGGACCAGCGCCGGCCGCCGCACCTGTTGGCGGCGCGCCCGCACCTCCGGACCCCGCCTCGCCCTCCAAGCCGCCGCTTCCCCCCTCCCAGCCGCTGACGCCAGATGCCTCGACGCCGCCGCGACGGCTCAACGCACGTCCCCTCAACGCGAGCCCGCGCCGCCCTACTTGGTCGAGTGTGCCGCCCGGCCCCAGCAGCCCAAAGGGTGACGGCAACCCAAAGGGTGACGGCAACCCAAAGGGTGACGGCAACCCAAAGGGCGGCGGAGCTGACAGCGACCGCAGCAGCGGCGCCGCCGCCGCCGACTGCGGCCGCCAGGACAGCGGCCGCCAGAGCAGCGGCGGCGGCAGCCCCACCGCACCCACCACCCCAGCCACCCCCGGCAACTCCGCCGGCGCCACCCGCCGACAGAATGAGGTGGTTGCGGCGCGCGAGGCGGCCCGGGCGGCGGCCCTCCAGGCTGCCGGCGCGGCGCGCGCCGCCTTGCGGTCCGCCGCCCTCGCGCGTGCCGCAGCGGAGCAAGGCACACAGCTAGGCACCCAGTCCACACGTCTCTATGCACATCTACATCTACATCTCCCACAGCACCCGCTGCTCGCCCCCGCCTGCGCACCGGGCTCTCTTGCAGTCTGGACTTCACTCTTGCTTTGCCGCGGGGCTCTCCTGCGCGCATCTTGGGGCGTGGGGATATGCGGGGGAGAATGCCGGACCCCCCCCCCCCAGGCGGAACGCCGCACCCTCACAATCCCCCCCCTTGCCCCACAGGCAAGACAGGCCCCCTCTGGCGGCTTCGGAGTGAAAGGGCTGCGTCTGGAGCGAGGGGCCCCATCTGGTGGAGAGATGTGGCCGCCGAGTCTACGGAGGCGCGGCCTGCTGCGCCAGCTCCGGCGCCCCCCTTGCTGCAATTGCTCGAGGACGAGCCGTCTCCCGGGCCGGTGGAAGCACCGCCCCCCCACCCCACCCCTCAGCCCTCCCCCGCCCCGCGCCCCGTCTGCGGCTGTCGCCTCCTGCCGCCTCGCAGCGTCACCCCTTCATCCCCCCTCCCGCCCCCGCCTCTCCGCAGGCGCACATCCTGCCCGCCCCCCCGCTGCGGGATCCCCGTGCCGCATCTCCCGCCCCCGTATCGCGGCCTGCCCTGACGCGCCGCCGCGAAGGTTCGCCGGCGGCGCCTCTGCCGACCTCCAAGGTGATCGCCGAAGCCGTCGCCGAAGCCATCGAATCATATCCGATCGAGCCGTCTCCGCCCCACCCAGACCCACCGCGCGCGTCGTTCCGCGTGATTGTGCCACCCGCGCACGCGCCGCCCGTCTCGCCGCCGCTCTCTGCGCTCCCGCCGCCGCAGCCAGCGCCACCCTCGCCCTCGGGGTCGTGCGGCCTCTCGTGCGGCCCCGCCAGCTGGCTCTCCACGCCGGCCCTCCTGCCGTCGTCGACGGCCCTGCCTGCGACGGCCCTGCCTGCGACGGCGCTGTCGCCCCCCGGGCTGGGGACCGGGCCGGGGGCGGCCGGGGCGGCGCCGTCGCCGCGAGCCCGCTCCTCCTCGCGCCACTCAGACGACGAGGAGAGCACTCGCGCACTCGCACACTGCCCATCCACCCGCGCACTGCCCACCCACCCCTAGCTGTGAGGGGAGAGAAGGAACCGCACCCTTGCCTTCCCCTCAGGCTAGCATCGCCGCTCTCTGGGCCGCGCCGCCACCAATGGCGCATATTCCCCACGCGGTGGGCCACGCTGCCGACCCGCGCGCGCAGCTGCCGCCGACCAACTTGCCGCTCAGCGTCGACCACCACTTGACCGCCGCCCTCGAGCCCTTCTACGGCACCGGCGCGGCAGGCGGCTCACCTCCGCCCGCAGGCACAGACTGGTCGTGGGAGGCCGATGCGGCGGAGCAGCTCGCGCTCGCCATGGGCAGCCACCACCTCTCGTGATTTCGCGAGGCTAGCGCGGTGCGGAGACCCCCCCGCCCCCCCCCTTTCTGACCGGCCCGCAGAGACTCTCCTCCTGTGCTCTCTCACTCCCTCACTCACCCGCGGCTCCTCTCGCGTGCCTTTGTCTCGCAGGCTCTCTCGCGCCCCCGCTCCGAAGACTGATCTGTGAAGGACGGGCCACGCCCACGGGACCACGTTCTCTATCGCCCGCTCCGCCCCATCCCCTGCCGCGCTCCGAGTTTAACCCCTAAACGGCTACCGAAACGGGGTGCCCGGAAGGGCGATATCACGGCGGCCTAACTGTGCCTCCGTGCGCTCGCCACATACCCCCTGCTGCCCGAGGGTCGTGTTAGCACTTTATTGGGCACATACAGAGGCGGTGGGAAGCCACCACGTTCCCTTTAAATTTTCCGCCACAGAGCTCCGGAGCGCGCTCTGCAGACTGCACGAGCTCCTGGAGGACGCGGTTTCGTCTTTCGATCCCAGACGGTCGTCGCACGTCGGCGCCCCAGTGAGGTCCGCCGTCATAGGTGTAGCACGCTACTAGACACACTGCCTCCAAGTTGAGCGGTGGAAAATTGTGACGAAGCCACGCACCGAAGCGCCGGCGTCCCTCTGGCAATCTGCCACCGACAGCAACACACGCCTTTGATCACCGGCTGCTTGCGCTCCGCATACTCTCCAGAAGCTGTTGGTTGTGTGGCTGGTACTACTTCTATCAGCCTTCCTCATGCACAATGTTGCCGTTGAGCTACGAGGCTGCAACCCGTCGTCATTTGAGTTTGCTGCCAGCCACACACAGCGCGTCCCTGCTGCACGAATGGTTGGACAGGTGTGAACAACACCTCGTGGGGGCGGCACCGCAGGCGTCCATTGAGGGGTCCAGGTGATAGCCCTGGGCGGGCAATCCATACGCCTAGTTGGACTTCAGATCGCCCGATCGCGTCCCGGTGAACTGACGTCGGATTTGTGACGCCGCCGCACCGCGCCGCGGCCGGGGGCCCTCCGGAGGCCGAGGATGGCCGTGGCGGACCGAGACGAGCTCTGGGAGGTAAAGTGTCAGCGTATATATTGTAGAGGCTGACCATGTGCACAATATCTCGCAGTCTAGCTAAGCCAGGGGAGGCTATTCTGGGCGTCCACACGGCTTGCACAGGTGACCCTCGCGACAAAGCGAGCGCGTCCGGCAGAGCGACTGAAGAATGGAAGACAGAGTCACAAATCCCGCTTGTTGTGCATGTTTTGAGGTCGGACAGTGCTGCTGTCTTCTCCACGCAGCAGCCGACGCCACCAGGCCTCGGTAGCTGAGCAGCAAGAGCCTCCTCGCTGCTGGCAGAGTTGCGCCTCTGTTTGCCGCCGCTAAGAGATCGTTGTTGCGGGAATCCAGGGAATCTAAAGGAATCTAGAATCTGTGGGTCCGAGATTCGATCTGGGACCTGAGCCGCTCGGGACCAGCTGCACATGACCCGGGGCCACTGCCATGTCGCAGACGACTGCTGGATCGGCCGTCACCGCAACCAGCCGTCCTGCAAAGGAATAAAATAACGGAGCGTTCCTTGCCGTACGGCAAGGAACGCCGTTTAGGGGTTAAACAAAGAACAGGTGTTTCGGCGCCGGCCTTGAGGTTCTTATTAATATTAATTATTATCTTAGGAGTTATGTGGAGCATTTGGAGCCGTGCAGTCGGTAACCTCACAACTGTCAACTCACATCAAGGGCCGGGGGTTTAACGTTAAGAAGCACACCCAGCGGGCCAGATGATCCAGATCGCTGATCGGGATCGGGTTGCGCTTGCGGGCTAGAGAGCCCTAGCCCTGGGGGGTGCGCGTTCGCAGGGAAAGGGCCGTAAAGTAAATACGGGTCTCCGAGAGGGCAACACAAACCGAGAGGGCTCCGTGTAATACACGACTGCCTAATCGCTAATGTGGCGCGGGCTCTCTCGGCTACGGGACCGGCCCCAGCTTCGGCTGAGGGCTAACAAGCTGCCGAGCCCAAATCACTGTGAGAGTCGTGATTTCTTGTTGGTCTTTAAAAATCTCTCTCTAATGTGTACTTCGCCCGGCTCCCCAGGGCCCCGTCCCCCGACGTCTCATTTTTTCTCTTTGTGGTGTACCTGTGTTAGTGCCAGTGCGCGCCAGTGTGTCGTGAGTGCGGGTCGTAATTCTCTTTTTGAGAGCGCCAAAAATATTTTCCAGCTGATAAGGGTGAGCACATCGCGCCTCAGCCGCGACAAGGCGCCCCTGCTCGTCGCGCGCCAGCCCCCCGGGCGGGGGCGCCGCCATGCCACCTACGCTTCGCGAACGGCTTAGCGCGTACAAGCGCTCGCTGAAGAGCGACACAAGCAAGGTCTGGCGCAAGGTGAGTCCTCGCACACCTCGCGCCAAGACAAGCCACCATGTGGCAGCGACAGACGACCATCTTACCTTGCCATTCGCCATCGTCAAGCACCCAAGCTGGATGCTGCGGGACGAGTCGCGGGGGGCGGCCGCGCAGGATGACAGTACCCTCCCGGCGACACTGTACGAGGAGCGCTTGGCTCGCGCCCGCAAGCTGGACACCGACTACAGACCTCCTGAAGCAGTCGGGCGTGAAATGGCGTCGTCTTCCCTGGCTTGGGCAGCACGCAGTGATAATTTAAGCGCAGCAGAGGAAATGCTGGCTCGCGGTGCTGACGTCGAGGAGAAGGACCCGCACACCGGCACAACCCCGCTCCACTGGGCAGCCGCTAGAGGGTCGGTCGGCATCGTTCGCGCTCTCATCGCTGCGGGCGCCAGAGCAGGCGCCACTGACCTGGATGGCGCCACGCCGCTAATGTTGGCGGCGGAGCGAGGCCATCTGGTTGTGGTCGAGTTGCTGTGTGCGGCTGGCGCTGACCCGAGCGCTGCTGACCGCGATGGCGTCACCGCGCTCCACGCCGCCGCCGCGCGGCGGCATGGAGCGGTGGTGGCCCAACTCATGGCGGCAGGCGCGGCTGCGGGCGCGGTCGACTCGCTCGGCTACACCGCCGAGACGATCTCGGGTGCGTTTGACGACACCGGCGATATTGCGGAAGACGGGAAGGCGGCGGGTTCGGATCGCGACCGGTCCCCGAGGGTGATCGAGGACGAGGGCGGCGAGGACGAGGGCGGAGTGGGCGAGGGCGGGGCGGGCGAGGGCGGGGCGGGCGAGGGCGGAGCGGATGACTGCGGCGAGGAGGAGGACGAGGACGCGGACGAGGACGAGGACGAGGACGAGAGGCAAACCAAGGCCATGCTTCTCGGTATTGGCTACAGCCCGGCTCAAATCAAGGAGGCGACGATCGCTGCGCACGGGGACGTTCAAGGCGCCGCAGAACGGCTCTTGGACGCCAATGCTGGCATGGACAAAGACGGGGCTGCCGCCCTTTCGCCAAGCCACGCGGCGCAAGCCGGCCCGCCGTTGCGTGCCAGGCGAGCCGGGCAGAGGCATGGCCAGCTGCACTCCCGCTCGCATCAGGCGGTGCACAGTGACCGGCAATCGCCGCCCGGTCAGCGCCCAGGCGGCATCGCCAGTCGATTGGTCGCGTTAGAAGGGCGTGTCGGGCTTACTGGCTCGGTCGGTCCCCCACTTCCTCGCATCATTGAGCTCGAGCTGCTGGCGGGCTTATTCCGACCGAGCGTGCAATGCTTCGCCGTCCGGCTCGACGCCCTCGAGCAGTGGGTGGAAGAGAATGGATTGTAGAGAGAGAATAAGGGGCCCAGACCGTGCCGAGGGGTAATACCAATCCGTACATACGCGACGTACGCGACACAAGTTTATGGACCTAAAAGCTAGAGACTCGCAGAGGCACCGGAGATGGCGGCTGACGCGGCAATTGCTGGCAAGCTCGGTTCGTCCGGGTAGGAGGCATCGAACCGGGTGAAGGAAAAGCGCGTGCTGTGCGCAGAGGGCACTTCATACATCTCAGCGGTCCCCTCGATCGCGCCCTCTGCCATAGCACTCGTGGTGAAGTGGCCCTGCTCTGGGTAGTCGTCGATCTTGCCGTCGCGCGGCCCTGTCCACGCGAACGATTGTCCAACTATGCCGTGCGGTCGGCTGCGAGCGGCGGCTTCGCCCTTTGCGCTAAAGTCGACGTCGAGCCGGTGCTCCGGTCCGGATATGCGCGAGTACACGTGGTTGCCGCGCACTGAGATGGTCCAGTCGCCAAGGGCGAAGGAGGCGCTCGAGTGGAAGACCTCCATGTCGAGACCCTCGCACGTGCGGAAGCCCCCCCGCCCGAGCTTGAAGGCGCGATCGCCGCAGCTGCCGTTGATGACGCGCCACCCCCAATTGTGCTCGTTCAGCTCGGAGGCCCAGAAGGACACGTTCGCCCTCGTCTTGCCCCCGGGGCCGAGCCGAGCCACCAGATGCGCCTCGGTGATGAAGCTCCCGTTGACAGTCAGCTTGTCGTTGTGGAGGCGGAAGCTGGCTTCCTCAATCTTCACATTAACTGACAGGCCCGGCACGGAGAGAAAATTGTAGAAGCGCCCATTCCGTCCCCGGAAGTCGGCCCGCCCGCCGTGCGCAAACCGCAGGTGCGGGTCCTTCTCGATCCCCACCGGAGGCGGAGGCGGCATGGGACAGTCGCTCATGGGTGCGGTCGTGCACTCGACGCGCGACGTATCGGCGATGTTGAGATCCGCAACTATTAATTCTTATTACTTCAGGATGCAACTATTAATTCACCTTGATTTGTACCAGAGCAGATGTACTTTTCCATGTATGTAGCTCTTACGAACATACCCGTAGGTGAACTGCTGACACTTTTAGCTTATCACTGGAAGGAAAAGAGAAATCAATAGTGCGTCACCTCCAGGAGAGATGGGCGACGCAAGAGGCACAGTGGGTTTATCTAGCTGTCACCGAACTTTCTTCTTTGTGTACCATTCCGCGGCAGTCCGCGCCTTTGTTGTGCCAGCGGCTGAGAGCGCGCCTAGAATTCTTCTTTGCGCCTTGCCACTCATGTCCCAGCCACACCGCTGTGAACAGGCCAGCGCACAGCGCCATAGGAGGTATTTTCTTCTCAATAACAAGGCTGTGAACACCGAGGGGCCTCTCGGCTGTCTGGTATAGCCCCAGCCGACTCCGCGTGAACTCTCGAGGGATCTCGAGTTGCGGAGCGTCTGGTGCGACAGTCGATTTGCATGGCGACTTTCAAGCTCCGAAGCCGCCTGTCTCCGTCGCGAGCCTGCCGTGGTCACCTCTGGCAATACTGAGGCTCTGCTCGTCGGAGTTGGACGATTGTGTGAAGGCCGCGGGCGCCAGCACGGAATACGGTGTGTGCTGCGCCGCAGCGCGCGCTGCACACACCGTATTCTGACCCGAAGCCTCGGACGCCCTCGAGAGAGGCGCTCGACGTCACATTGACGAGTGGCCCCTGGTGGCCCCGCCTCAGCTGAGATGGCGGCCTGGCACGGTCCACCGGTCGCTGCGACCGGGCCCTCGACCGCCTGCGCGAGCTGGTCTGCGCAAGTCCTGCGCAGCTCGGACGTCGACGCGAGCCAATCCGATGCCTTTGATCGACCGATGCGAGCTCGCGCGCGCGCGCAAAACGCGCGACTCTGCGCCTTCGGCGCGGCTGCACCGCCAGCGCGCGGCGCGGCGCGCAGAGTGGACGAACATACCAGGCCAGAGTCTGGGGCTCTGCTGCGCAGAGCTGACGCGCAGAGGGGGAGAGAGGAGGAGGTGTGTCCTCGGACGCGCGCCAGTGCTTTTTTAAGATCGTATTATGGTGAAGGAACACTACGGCAACTCTCCGACACCCGCACTCGCCACTCTCGAGGTACACTCTCACCAATGCGCGCTTATGCGTCGCGCTCAAACTCGACGTCGCTCGCATCCGCGCGCACGACCGCATTGCAGCTGTGGGCGCCGGCCAATGAGTGCCAGGTGGGTGCTCCAGGGGAGGCCGCCGAGAGTTTGCGAGGAGCATGACCTCGCCAGGCTCGCCACGGCGGTGAAGTTGAAGCGACTGTCGCTGCAGACGCTCCCTCTGCTCGGTGTACGAACTCTGTTCACACCGAGCAGATGGGAGTGGCTGCGGCTATAGCAGACCAGGCCTCTCGGTCTTCGGAGCTGCTCGGTGTACGAACTCTGTTCTCACCGAGTAGCTGGGAGTGGCTGCGGCTATAGCAGACAGTCTCATCAGACACCATGCTAGGCCACAAGCGCTCCAGCCACGTTCGCGAGTACGGCCTCGCCACAGGCCTCGGCGCCCTGTTCGGCGCGACAAACACACTCGTCGGCCACCCATTCGACACGGTGAAGACCAAGATGCAGGCGCAGGCGGGCTTTAGCGGGTCTATGCGGGCCACGATTGCGCGCATCTGGAGCACGGAGGGCCTGTTGGGATTCTACCGCGGCTGCGTGCCGCCGATGTGGGGCTCGGCCGTGTACCGATCGGCGCAGTTTGCGGTGTACGACCTCTGCCACACCGCCGCTGCCACGCACGCGCCGCTGCGCCGCCGCGTTGATCCCCTCGGCGTCGGGTGCGAGATGGAGCTGCGCGTCCCCGTCTGCGGCGCGGTCGGCGCCACCGCACGCACCGTGCTCGAGTCGCCGATTGAGTACGCAAAGGTCCGCGGGCAGACGGGTCAGAGCTGGCGGCTCGCAGAGGTGTACCGCGGCGCGGGCCTGCAACTGGCGAGGACGGGCCCGATGATGACGCTCTACTTTTGCCTCTTCGACTCGTGCAAGCGGAACGGCTGCACCGCCACGCCGCTGGGCCAGTTCCTTTCCTCCGGCCTCAGCGCGCTCGTTGGATTTTGGGTAGTGTGGCCGTTTGAGACGCTCAAAAACATGACGCAGGCCGGGATTGGCGGGAGCGTGCTTGACAAGGTGCGTGCGACGCCCGGCGGCGTGTTCGGCCTCTACCGCGGCATCGTGCCTGGGTCGCTCTCAGTTTTCCTACGAAACGGAGCGGCGATGCTCGTGATGGCGGAGGCCAATCGGAGAGTGACGGCGTGGGGCCTGCGAGACTAGCGCGCCCCGGCGCTCGCACTACGCACAGAGGCCACCGACGGTGTCTCGGTAAAAAGGAACAGGTCCCCGCCCGTGCGATCTTTGTGCAGGGTTCTTTGTGGGTCCGTGGTCGGCGGCTAGCCGGGGTCGTCCTCGCCCGATGGGGGACTAGCACTAGCCGTCTTCGCACATGGTCCCTCGGGTCACTGCTGCTCCTAATCTATGTTTATCAGCGTACTCATGTACTGTATTATGTGCTCACATGCGCCGTGAGCATGTGTCCCCGGCATCGTGTCCGGGGATCCTTGAACTTTTTCTCTCTACTCTTTTTACTCGCTTGGTCTTGCACTTGGGCCGTGTGTGTTTTTTGCCGTACAGCGTGTACTGGTGCGCGTGGGCGTGCGCGCTGCGCCGTGCGCCGGCACACCGCACACAAGACACAAAGTCCATGACAAAGTCACAACGTATGAGGCGCACACATCTCTCTCTGTGTCTACGACGCGCGAGCCCCCGTCCACACACACGCGTACGGGGCTCGCTAAGTCGAACCATGAAGTCTCCTCGCGCTGCCCTCCTCCTCCTGGACCCCCGTACGCGGGGTCGTACGTAACACGTATGCGAGGGGCAGCTGTGCACCAGGTTCAGCTTCAGGCCGCCAGCTCATGGCGACACGGCGAGGTCGGCCATGGCGCCCTCCAGACTCCACGCGCCCGCTGGCCCGATATGCTTGCAGTACGCGCCCTCCTCGTGATACTCTCGCATCCGGTCCTCCGCATCTGGGTGCGTGACCCGCGCCGTGATCGCGACGCGCCAGCCGGTGCGCACGGCAGACCCCGGAGAGTGGAATACGCCATGCACCACCCGCCGCTGCAGGCCCGCCCGCTGGACGTGCACGACACCGTGCGAGGTCTGAAGCCCTCGCGGGGCGTCGTACGTGCCGCGCGCGGCCTCGGCGGAGAAGCGCGCCCCATACTCGGAGTGCCAGTTGTCCATCGGCTTCCAGAGCACGACCTCCTGAGGCGGAGGGAGGGACCTCCTGAGGCGGAGGGAGGGCGCCGAATGGGCTTGCCGGTGGCGCCGTGCGCCGCCCCCTCCCCTCCCCCCCCCCTTCCCCTCTCTCTCGTGGCGTCGCGAGCCTTGCCCGAGTCCTCCGGACGCTCGTAGAAGACAGTCGTCACAACAGGCTGGCGACGCACCAGCGGCGCATTCTTGGGCGCACTCTCGCGCGGGCCATGCTTGTAGCCCATGTCGGCGTCTTGGTGGTAGTGAAAGCCGCCGCCGCGAAGGTTAAGGCCGAACACGATCGTGTTGAAGGGCGCGGGCGGTGGCTTGAGGTGGATTGCGGTGTACATCATCGTGTGCCCCACGCACAGCGCTGAACTCAGCGGCGTGTGCTCCGCGCCGTTGATCACCTTGAAGTCGCCCGGCTTTTGGCCGAGCACGTACGGGCCGCCAAAGCCGCGGATGAAGGCGTCGCCCTTGCGCGCGCACCAGAAGCGGTCGCCGCGCATCGCCGCGCCGAGCTCGGCCAGCATCTCGGCGGTCCACGGCCAGAGGGCGTGGATCTGGCCGTCGAGCATCGCCGCCGCCGACGCCACGTTCGACCGCTGAGGCTGTCTCGAGAGCGGCAGCATGTCGACGGCGCCCTTGACCTGCCAGGCGCTCGGCGGCAACATCCGGTGCCTCCCCCACCACTCGGCGTCGTCGGCAGGCCCGAGACCGAGCCGGGCGAGCGTCCCGTCGGCGGGCGGCCACCCTCGTCGCGCGGCCGCGTCGGCCTCAGAGCGAGAGACCGGGCCCACCGCTTGCGGGTCGTAGGCCGCCCACGACGGTGACGGTGCCGGCCTCGATGGCGGTGGCAGTGCCTGCGCCCTCCTCGCCTCCCTCGCCGCTTCCTGCGCCGCCTCTCGCTGCTCAGCTTGCTGCTCGGCAGGCGCCGGCAGCGGCTGCCATCCAAGCGAGAGCGCAGATAACCCGCTCCGCTCCGGCGGCCAGCTTCGCAAGCCCGAGAGGCGCGAGAGCTCGAGGTCACTCTCCGCGCGAGTCTCCGAGACCCCGCCTGCCGGCACCGAGATCACTCGCCGCCCGTGGCCGTCTGCCGCCGCCACCAGGTACGACAGCGCCTCCGCGGCCGCCTCGGACCGCACGACACACTCCGCGCGGAGCACCAGCGCGCTCGAGCCGAGGACCCTCGCAGGGGCCGCTGGCTCGGCGTCGATCTCGAGCGGCTCGGCGTCGGCCTCCGGGTCGGGAGACTCGTCCACCGCGTCGGCCGTTTCGCCGCCCTTGTCGGTGCTGCTGCCGCTGTCCTCGCTTGTGGCGGCGGCGGCGGATAGTATCTCTGCGCAGCCCGAGTCGAGGCACGGCGAGAGGGAAGCCGCCTGGTTCCACTTGAGGTAGCCGATATCCACCTCCAGGTTCTCGTCCACCCCGTGCGACGCACGCCGCGACGCATGCTGCGAGACGGCATGCGCCACAACGCGAACCGCGAGCGAATCGACGTGATTGGCCGGCTCGCGCCGCAGCTCCAGCGAAGCGCCCGCATGCATCAGAGCTCGTGCCGCCGCGATGTTGTGAAACTTGAGGCCCACGGCGACGAGCCGCAGGGAAAGCGTCCGCTCGACAAACGCCGCGTCGGGAAGTCCTGCGGCGTTTGCCATCGGCTGCGTGCCTTCACCGTCCGCGGATGCGGCGGCAGCAGGCTGCGTCGCCTCCTCGTCGCCATCCAGGTCGTCGAGCATGACGGAGGACGCGCCGCGAAGGACGGTGGCGGCAGAGGTGAAGGAGCCGCGGAAGCGCTTTGGCTCCATTCTGGACCTAGTTCGATCGCTGTGGATGAGAGGCGGGAGCGGCCGCGATTTTCTTTTACGCAAAGTCCTGCTCCCCTCCTCGTCTCGCCCTGCGCGTCTGCTCCGCCTCCACATCGTCTGCCCTGCGTCGTCTGGCGACGGGTCCTCCATAGTCGGTTGAGGTCGCCGCCCTCCTCGTGCCTCTTCCCAACGTTCCCTCGGGGGCCGATGCCGTCCGCTCCGACTCCGCCGTCCCCGGGTCTGCCCTGCTCTCGTCTGCGCTAGCTTCTGTTTCGTCATCACTGGTGTCTCTCCTCTTGTTTCTCCTTTCTTGTACATAATCATAATGTGGCACATTCTCGTAGCGACGGTTTCACCATCGGACTGCCGCCAGACACGCGCCGTGTAGTCCGACGACGCCGTCACAATGAGCTTGCCATCCGGGCTCACCGCTGCCGAGAACACCGTTTCCGTGTGCCCGGTCAGCGTTCGAAAACGCCACGAACCGTCGGACAACTGCCAAATGCGCGCAGTTTTGTCAGCCGAGGTCGTCACTCTCTTAATGCACAAGAGCGGTCGTTTGCCTCTCCATGCGTGCCGAAGCGGTCGATTTGGCCCGCCTTCCGTCCCCCCCAATGCTTGCCGCTCGCTCCCCCCCCCCCCCCCTCCCCTCCTCGACTGCATTCCCTTTTTAGATACATAAACTCGCGGCACGCGATGGCGGCAAGGCCTCTTTGCGCGCCCACCCTCGTCACGCAGAAGACCAACGGGCGTCGGACCGCGGTGAGACCGCGCCGCCCTCCGCGCCCGCCCGCGCCCGCAGCGTGAACACATACGCGCGTCCCTCGCCGCACGGAAACATACGCGCCAGCCGCGCACACAGCCTCACATGCAGCGCAGACCGCATGCCCGCGCCCTGGGCCGCCGACGACCCGGTCGGGCGGGCTGAGCGGCCGCCGCACACCAACAGGCAGGCGCGCGACCACCCACAGCACGCCGCAGCCCGCCGCGCAGCCCTGCCAGACAAGCCTGCGCCTCCCAGCTGCACAAACAGGCGCACAACAGAGTACAGCACACAGCACACACCGGCGGCGCGCGCGCGCAGCACACGCAGACGCGCACGCGCATCCAACACGTACACGCGTCACTGCACGCGCGCGTTACACGCCAGAGACAGCGCAACACACAGAGCACACCTCCCACTCGGCATCCATATCCAAGGCCTTTTTTTTTCTTTTTCTAGGCCACTCTCGACTCTCGCTCCATCCCGCTTCATCTCGCCTAATCTCCCCTAATCTCGCCTCATCTCGCCTCATCTCGCCTCATCTCGCCTCACCTCGCCTCGTCTCACCTCATCTCACCTCATTATATTTTCTTCTAGGCCACTCCGAGACCGACCCAAGACTGACCCGAGACCCGAGATCGACCCGAGATCGACCCGAGATCGACCCGAGATCGACCCGAGATCGACCCGAGATCGACCCGAGATCGACCCGAGATCGACCCGAGATCGACCCGAGATCGACCCGAGATCGACCCGAGATCGGCACGAGCGATCAACCCAACAATGCCCCAAAGCCCCCTCTCTGGGGGACCCCCCCTCACCCCGAGTGTCCGTGTCCTTCGCGAGTCACCGATGGGGAGCGGGGGGGGGTGCGAGATGCACAGGGGAGGCTGGGGAGGGGGGGGTCCACTCTGAAGACTGCCGACCGCGGGGGGGTTTTGTCCCACAGGGTTTTACCCTCCGCGTGAGGATCGGCGCGGCGAGGGGGTAGGTTCGAATTCGCCGCGCAACATTTCACCCCCACAGGACCCCGCCCACCCCCCCTCATGGTCCCACCTAGTACCCCAATGAGCCTTCGCACCCCCTCCTTGCGCAGTGTCCCCCACTATGTGTCGCCGTTATCGGGGCATGCTATCCTGTGTAGTCAGGGCAAGTGGGGGCGAGGCGCAGTCCCTCTGGTCTATACTGGTGTGGTTCTGTCCCTAGTCTCGGAGGGGGGCTTGAAGCTAAGAATATTTTTTTTTTTAGATACATAAACTCGAGCGTGTCTGGTGTCCAGTCCGAGCCTGGCTGTTCTTCACCTTCTCTCCTACCTACCTCTTATCACTATAGTGTGTAATTCTCCACCCCGCGGGGCGCCCAAGACACACAAGCACAGGCGGTGGAGAAGGGAGAGACTACAGCGACGACGATCAGAGTGCATGTATTCACACCACACTCGAAAAGGGGAAAGGCCTTCCTCTCTTCTAAGAGCACCAAACGGCGTAGCAGCCCGCAACCAGGGCGAGGACCATCAGCACGCACTCCCAAGCCCACCACGCAAAGGCTCGGTGCCTGCAGTTGTGGAAGCTCTGCGCGCGCACCTCGTGGATTCCGATCGACGGACACTTCGAACCGAACAGCTTGATAGTGTGGGAGATGCAGAGCTGGAAGATGACCTTGTCCTGCTGCATCACGAAGCCGGCGGCGACTGCGTTGCGTATCAGCTCGTGGTCAGTCTTCGAGCGCAGCACCAGTCCCGCGCCCGCCACCGTGATGAGAATTGCCACCAGCACCTTTCCGCCGATGATGAAGACGTAAAAGGCCGCCCGCTCCCAATAAGTGAGGCCGCTCACGGGCCGCGTGACCGCCGCGCTTTCACCATACTCCTCCTGGGCGACGGGATGCTTGTCTGCAAACTTTTGGAACCGCAGCAGCTCCATCTGTCCCACAGTTGGAAACTCAGACAACCACAGGTGCATCTCGAGCGACTCGACCAAGTCGCGCAGCCCTAGCTGCATAAAGGTGCTGGTCGCCACCAGGCGCAGCATCGGGCTGCCGCCTCCGCAATCATGCGCCTCCTCAACCACGACGGCATACAAGTAGGCCCCGAGCGAAAGCTGGACGACGTAGGAAGCAACCAGAGGAACGACACCGTTCCCGTAGACGAAGAACGTCGGAAAGCGGTGCTGGCAGGGTGAGCGTCCGGAGTGGGTGAGATGGGTGGTCGTGTGGTTGTGCGCTAGGCGGACTGCTCCTGCTGGGAAGGCAGACCTGCGGGCTCGTGTTGAGCCAAAGGAGGATCGCGCAGCCGTAGATGGAGTCTGTGGGTAGCGAGCGGGCGATCGAGCCCACCTCTGCCTCGTTCTGACTTCCAGGGTTGAAGGGTTTGCCCTTGGGTTCGAGCAGCGCCTCGTTTGGGAGCGGCAAATAGTCGTCCTTTGACTCTGTGGTTGCACGGCTGGCCCGCGCCACAGTCCCCAGCCCGTCCATGCGCAAGCAGTGTGAAACAGCAGCAGGACAATCAGACCGAGGTACTCAGCGCAGAATGTCAAGGGCGATAACGACGCGATGGCAACGAACGACGACGCACGCGTCCGTAAAAGCAAGCCGGCCAACTCTCCGCGAAAAAATGGGTTTCGGTCGGGTGTTTGCGATGGTCGCGTTCGCGGTGGTGGGATCGCAAGCGTGCTGCTGTGGCTCAAACAGCGGCCACATCGGGCCCGTCACCAAGGAGTTCTGCGCAAGCCAAGCCGGAACCGTGCGCCAAGCACACGCAAAGCGTTAACCGGCAGCAGCAGCGACACATCGCAAGAACACAATTCGCATCGCATTCAACGCCCAGGCCCCAAGCGCTCCCGCCACCTCTCACGCTGCCGCCCCTCCCTCTGACGCAGTATTGCGGCTCGTGCCACCCACCTTGTGATGTTGCGTGCAAGGTCAAGTTTGCCGCGCAATGAGCTGGAACCCGTTTGCAGACCTCAGCTGAGCTGGCGCTAGGCCGGTCCATGTGTGTAGACGCAATAGCTTTCCACCGATCACGCAGTCGCCGTCCGGCGCCCCAACGTTGACGTATATGCGTGGGTGTGTGGTTCTCATCTTTTAGCAGTGTGCGTCTGGGCGTGCCCCCCCGGTGGCGGTGCGCCGCGCGACGCGTGAGGCTGCTGGCTCGAGCGTCGTGTGGCGTGGGTGGCGTGCCCATGTTCGTGGAGAGACAGTAAAGAGGGCGCGCCTGTACAATACGCCCGCGATTGGGAGGGCACTTGTGACGAGGCATGGTTAAAGCATAAAGGCGAGCGGGGCACGATTTTCGCTGTGTGTGGTCCCTCTGTGCGCGGACTTGTGCTAAGTCGTGTGAGACTCCTTTTTGCTTGCTAATAGTGCAACATTTTTTTACAATACGCACACGTGAAGTCATATCCCAAATCCAGGCCTCGACTCCTTGGGTGCCGCGGCCGGCGGCAGAGGTGGCGCCCGCCGATTGCCCTCGGCAAGCACGTCTGCAACCAGCGGCCTGGTGTCGCAGAGCTGGCTCATGGCGATGCGGTTAGAGGCGGCAGGCCACGGCGCGGCGCGCCTACGAGCGAGCGAGTCGTCCTCACGCGAGGGATGGCGCCGCGGGTCTGAGGCGTGTGGCGCGAGGCACCGCCAGACTTCCCACGCAGCGGGAAACGCGCGTCGCACCGCGACCGTGTCGCCGGGCGTAGGCCCCTCCGCAGTCGCGAGGAAGAAGGCGTCCACAAAGTCCGCCATAAACATCGGGCGGACCGGTCGCAGCGGCCGCGGAGACAGCACGAGAGCCTCGAGGTCGGCGTTAATCAGCACGACCGGTCGGTCGTGGGCGCGGGAGAGCAGGCCCTGGAGGCTCTCCAGTACGTGACCGTCCGGCTCGTCGTCCGCGGAATAGCGCACGCGATTGCAGGGCGCGAGCACGACGA